TGCCGCCCATCTCCCCCAACGGGTGACTCTGGGCGGCTCACAATAATAAAAAAGAAAAAAAACACAATTATATAACAATTCTAGAACTAGAGTAAGATGTAACTTACATAATTCACTTTCAAATGCAGTTGTATATATCCCATTCAGATTTAAATTCTTATCCCCCTAAAATAGCAGGTATGAATGTCCCCCCTTCTGCTATATGTTGATGATGCAACTATTATTTCAAGGACTCCAACTGGCCTCGACCTGCACTCAAACGTTTAGTGTAGTGTTGCAGGTAAGATCAGCTTGTAATAATTTTTCAGGAGACTAAAGTGATGGTATTTGCTAAAAATGTAGGACAGCTACAATGGGGAATAGAAGGGCAGGGCACTGAAGAAGTGAGGAGCTTCAAATACCTTGACATAATGCTCCAAGATTCAGGATCACGGAATACAGGTATTGACTCACTGGTTTCACTGGGAGAAATGTTTTCTGGTTGCTGCTTTTTTTTTAAAATGAATTGTATGTATACTTTAAATTCCTGTTACGTATTGGGGAGTTGTTTGCCCCTCAGAGTCAGCAGATTGGAGTGGCCCATAAGTTTTGCAGATAAGTATGTAAGTAAATAAAGGTGATGATGCTTTTTATTAATTTACTAGATTCTCTACCTTTCCTCCAGGAGCTCAAGGGGGCATAATAGTTTTGCTTTCTCCCATTTTATCCCACAACAAGCTGGTGAGAGGTATAGGATGGAGAGAAAAAGTAGCCCAAAGTTATCCATTGAGTTTCCATGACTGAAGGTGGACTTGAGGGTCTCTGTGATCCTAGTCGAATACCCAATCTTGATCAATTCCAATCTTTTTAAGTACAATTACAAGGGCTTGAGATAGAAAGGCAGGCAGGCATTAATTGTAATGGATAATTTCATCTTTTATTTCTTCCAGGCACAACTGTCCCAGGCTTTGAATGGCATTTCAGATAAAGCAAAGGAAGCGAAAGAATTTTTGGTTCAGCTGAAAAATATTTTACAGCAGATACAGGTAATGTGTATAGAATTTGAGCTTTTTTGCCCATTGTCTTGAATGGCCATCACTAAACTGAACAATGGCAAGTCTACTTTGCAATTTTTTGTTTCATTGCAATGGTGCTTCTTTAGAAGGCTAAATCAGAACACATGGTTTCCCACAGTGATCTTCAGGCTAGTTGCTGGGAGGGAGAATATTCATTATTTTTCTCTTCTTCGGCAATCTTGCTTCCTCCTTACTTTCAGGAAGCAGGTTCAGATATGCAAGACATGGGCATCAGGAGTAACTATGTCGGCTTATACAGTATATCAGAGAGAGAAGAATGAATTTGTATGAATGACTGTATGGTGTGAGAATACGTGCACATGTGTTTACATCTAGATGTGCATGATTGTGAAACCTGCAGCTTTATGATGTTTTCAGCTCAAATCCTGTGCTGCCTTACTAGTGTGGAATCAGTGTACCAAAAATCCACACTATCCTGTGTGAATTCCACTGAAATGAACAGGATCTGTACATAATCATGGATGTATTCCAATGGCTGGGCTTTTCAGTTTCAACATATCAGCAGGATTTGCACAAGAAACAATTCTGATAGATAACACCCAAGAGTTTATACAAACATTGCCCCTAGCATGGAAAATGTTAAAAACTGAATGGTACCAGGTTAGGAAAGGATATTTCTATCTTCTGGCAGAATCATCATCTTAGTAGTGTACCTGCAGACATTCTATAGCAATAGGAAACTAGTTATTGGGGGCGAAAAAAGACAGACTATGATTCCAAAGTATTTAGAAAAGAGCATAAAAATAACTGTTGGCAACACACACTAGTTTTGGTGTTCTCAAGATATGACTATAAAGGTAAATATGCTCCTACTTCTTTTTCTAGGAAAATGGCTTGGACTATGAAGCTTGTCTAGTTGCTCAATGTGATGCTTTAGTTGATGCCTTGACTCGCCAGAAGGCCAAACTGCTCACAAAAGTTACCAAAGAGCGTGAGCACAAGCTAAAGGTGAGTGAAAACGTTATTCATACCTGCTGGGTAAGGAAGCCTGATCATTTTTTTAAAAGGCCTTAAAATACACTTTTTAAAATGGCATTTTGCTGATTTTCAATTGTGATTTTTTTTTTTTTTTTTGGTAAACCACAAGAAACCTCAGTGGTCAGTGGCAAGTGTAATATATAAGGCTAGATAGATGGATACATGGAGCTAGTACAATGTGATTAGTTAGGACTGTGAGATTCAAGTACAAGTTCCTTTAGTTATGGATTAATTTAATCAAATCACCTTCTCACATGGCCAGCTTAATTTACCAAATTGCTGTGATGGGAAAACATTGGAAGAGGGATGCCAAGCTCCTGGAGGAAAGGTAGGATATAGATTTAGTGACTAAGAAGTTTACACCTTTGGTAAGGAAGGTTCTGGTGGTTGAGAAGGAATGGCACTTGTGAATTAATCCTCTATCTCAGTGTTTCTCAACCTATGCAACTTTAAGATGCGTGGACTTCAACTCCCAGAATCCCCCAGGCAGCATGCTGGGCATGCATAGAGTCTATCTCATTGCCCTTTTCTTCTTGCAGATTTCTTCTGATTGATCACCAGCTCTCCCACTTAGCCAGGTTGACATATTATTTTGGAATTGGGTTGGAAAGAAAATAGTTCAAAATGGCCTGTAGACATTTGCAGGAAAGCATCATTGGCACTAAAGCATTAAACATACCTCCCTCCCTTGCTGAGCTTTCTCTACAAATGCCATTGCTCTCAACATTAGCTTTCCAGGAGAAAGAGTAACTTGGGATCTCTGGGTTCTCCACAGTCTTGAGTAAGGCTCTACTGGAGAAAGAAGACCTTGAGTTGGCTTGTGTGTGTGTGCGTGTGCAAAGAAGAATGGGGAAAAGGAACCTCATTGTAAATAAGGCTAAGAGCTTTGAGCAACCCAGCAAGGAGAGCTGACCGTGTTTGTTCCAGAACAAAGATTCTTCTTTTTTTCAACTTGCAAAGAAATGTCTTATGCCCCTCTGAAAATAATTGGCAAAATCCTAAAGTTTTTATTTCATGCTTACTATGCTTTATTGCAGGGGGTGGTACCATGAGCATACACAATGTCAAAATATATAAAATGCTTCAGAAACATCTCCAGCTTTTGTGACCCCAACACCTCTAGTTCCCTCTTCCTATAGAACCTGCTCACCTTCTAGTTGCATAACACTGCTTGTTTACCTGCATAATCCATTCTCCTCGTGGGTCAGCTGTAAACTATGGACTGTGTCTCATTCAAGTGTCATTTAAGTCCCTAAGTGGTTGCCAGGCTTTGACAGGTGATATTAATAGCCCAGTTGGTCTATTTTGTCTGCAATTACATTGTTTAATACAAGTGGGAATCCTGATTTGTTTCTCATCTTGCTAAAAACTGGGTAAATCTCATTGGTTCAAACGATATGCCATACATTTACAAGATTATATGATGAATATCCTCAGATTATTAATACTGTTCTGCCTCATCACTTTATCATCTTTTCTATCTTTTTGTTTAGTGGTAAAAATGAAAAGATCTATAAATAATCAAGTTCCATGTTTCCAATATTGGCTGGTTAATTGCTCAAAGAGACATATTTGATACAGTCCTAACTCAGTGCTTTTTCCTAGTACATATGGAGGTCTGTTGTCATTAAATGTGGACCCATAGGAGTGGGGACTGGTGTCCTCCAAATGTTGCCGAACTACTATTCCTATGGCCCAGTCAGCACGATCAGTGGTGAGGGATGCTGGGCTTATAGTTCAGCAGCATTGAAGGGGCATGAATTTCTCATCCCTGATTTGTAAGCTCTATTTAAAAACAGAAAGAAAACCAATATTTTGAATGTATAGTGCTAAAGCTATATGTTAATTATTCAGCATCATTAATTTTATGAGAAAAAGGGCACAAGAGCATACAAAGAATCCTGTACAGTCCAGGGTCCTAATTTTCAGTAGCCAACCTATGTATGAAAAGCCACAAGTCACACACCCCTGAGATTCAAATAATTCAGTCACGAACAGAAATGGATCTTAAACCTTTTTTAAAATCTTCCCCTGCAAATTGAAACATGTCCTATACAGGTAGTCTCCAGTTGAAGAATGAGTTCCATTCCCAAGGTCTGTCCTTAAGTTAAATTTGTATGTAAGCCAGAACAGTGTTATTATATAATACTGTATTAGTAGTATTATGTAACAAACTCAAACCATTGTGTATTTAACTTGAATCATTGTGTATTAAACTCGAATTTTGCTACAGCAGGCTCCGTTCTTAACTATGGGTTGTCCTTAAACCAAGTATCCTTAACCCGGGGCTACTTGAATGCCATTTGGCCACCCTAATATCAGAGCCTATGTAGAGCCTATACTTGGAGCCACTGAAAAAGAGATAATATCAATATGCTTCTCCAAGCAAATATTATTCCATCAAATTCTTCTCCCTTCTGCTGGTGCTTCCAAAATATTTCCTCGATTCAGTGAGAGCTGGAGAGATCAACAGGCATTTTTCCTCCCTAGGTTGTATGGGACCAGATAAACCACTGTACTCTGAAACTGCGACAGTCAACAGGGCTTATGGAATATTGTCTAGAAGTAATCAAAGAAAATGACCCTTCTGGTTTTTTACAGGTAAGTTACCTTTTGTCTTAGTGATAAATGAGCAACCTTTTTATGAAGGATTCTAATTTGGAAGTGATAAATGCTGACATACCAGCCTTATATATTTTTGTATGGGTTATTCCATCCAATTCAGCGACAAAGATGGAGACAGGTAGACTCTTGTAAGACTCATTTGAAATAGATTAGTCTACTGACATTATTTTGGTGTCCACCATGCATTCCACCTTCAGAAGTTAGCTGAAGATATTTGCTACTTGATTTGGAAGGCTTGGGACCTAGTATCTCCCAAAATTGATTCATCTGCCCCAGGAGGCCCATTCCCTTGAGTGACTGGGATCACAAATCCTTGCCTTCCAGTTGCATGAACTGATTCTTCTATAGCTTTGTCTAGTCTGTTAAAAGTTTTCTTTTTCAGATTTCAGATGCTTTAATCAAACGTGTTCAAGTATCTCAGGAGCAGTGGGTCAAAGGAGCCCTGGAACCAAAAGTATCCGCTGAATTTGATCTGACATTGGACAGTGAACCACTACTGCAGTCAATCCATCAGCTGGACTTCATTCAGATGAAATGTAGGGGTGAGCTTTTGTAGGCTGATTTTCCTTTCCTTTTGTATGGGATTCCAAAGAATACCTGGGAGAGGGTGACACATCTAAACCAAGAGCTAGGACTCAATTCTCCAGATGAAAGCCACTTTTTAGATGTTGAACAATTTCCATTTCTCTGTCCATGACTCTAAGAAGTTCAAATAACAATCTTAGTTAATGTTGGATATCTTATTTAAAGTTGGATAGCTTTCTATTTGAAAGCAGAAAGCTTCAAATAGGAACTATATGTGTTTCTTTAAAGTAAAAAAAAAAAAGCTAAGTTAGAATTTCCAAAGCTTTCCTCTGTAGTAAAGCACAACATATGCAATATAGCAGTAAATACTAATCAACTACAAATAGAGAACATCATGTTTACTCATGTTCTTAGGCAGCATGATAGGGATAGACAATCTAATGATTCCAGGTGTTTTGGATAACAAATTCCCAAATCTCTTGCCAATGGCCAAGCTGTCTGGGGTTGATGGAAGTTGACTCCAAAACTGCTACTTGTGATATAAGAGCCCTCCTAGATCAGATCAAAAGCCAGATGGAGACAGCCCCCTACTTAAGGTTACAAACCCTGAGCAACAGCAGAGAGAGCTACCATCTCTGCTCTTTCCTCCTGGCTGTTACCCTCATCAGAGGACAGACTCTCTGGGTTCATATATCATGTTGATCCCTCATTTATTTGAATCACGGTTGGCTGAACAAGTCGTAGTGTCCTTGTGCACATGTGAAGCTAAGCCAGAATCTGTCCTTTACAGAGCAGAATGGCTGGACTTATACATCATGTCAAACAAACCATATCATCGCTTAGTGCAGTTGTGAATCCAGCCAGCATATGAACTTGTTACCTAGACTGTTCCTAAAGTGTAATAGAGACCAGAGGATGCAATCCTGTCATTAATGTTGAAGTAGCATTCAATTGCCAGTCCAGTTTACTTCTGCTTATGAAATCTGTATACATTTGTGTGTTATCATTGCTTCCAGATAAACCTTCCATAAGACTCAATTCATTCAACATCTTGTTTCCATAGAGGCCAATTAAATGCTTTTAAGTGGAAGCACCATAAAAGCTAATTAGCAGAGTTCCACCATTGCTTCCCAAGAGCTGGTAATGATAGTGGCTCTGAAACAAAGGGTTCTATGTAGACATCATAACACATTGATACCTTTATACTGCTTTGTCTGAATGTGTTTACTAGAGTTATGCAAGGACCTTCATTGTCAGATTCTTAGCTCCAGACGTAGCCCAATCTTCTTTGTTTCTAATTCTGGACTACACATTGGGAGAAATAGAGCTCCAGCCTCTGATTATAAAGTATGGGGAAAATCTAAATGCCTAACATTCCTGACATGCAGTAATTAGTATTTGACAGTATGGACAGTTGACATGCGTTGATGTAAATACTAGGACTTTTACATTTCAAAAATGCTTTGTAAATGCTTTGGGTCAGCAACTCTTTGCTGTTCATTAAAGCAGCCCTACTTTTTACTTTTATTGCTTGCCACTGGGATCATCTGACTGAATTACATTTATGGAGCAATCTTCTCTTCAACTGCAGACTGTTCCATTGTTTGAGATTTGTGGTATCTATGCTCTATCAGTAGCAGACCTGTGGAGAAACTCAAGAGACTTTTTTTTGTCTTGGTGTTCTCTTCCTTTTCAAACCACCTCCTAATCCTTTGAGACCAAACCCAGGGTTATGAAATTCATCAGAAGCCCTCGTTGGAGTGCTGAAAGAATACTGAATGATTAAGTTGCAATATGTCTCATTGAAAGCAAAATAAAATGCTCCCAATATAAATGTTGTGGATGCAAAGTGTGGGCTTAGCCCAGCCAATAAAGGATGCTAACCAACATTCATTTTCTAAGAAAAAGTAGAATTAGGAAATATGTGATAGAAAAGCCTCACTTCTATCTAACCTATTGTATATCTTGAGGAGAGAGCTTGAGAGAGAGCGAATCTCTTACATACAGGGGCAATGGCTGATTTAAATTTCCTCTGAAATTGGGGCTATCATGGAGGGACAGAGGCATTCAAGCTCCAGTGAGCCCAAAGCCTTTATCTATGCAGTCACGTCTCCTTTTCAGCTTTTTGATCGTGGAAGGAGCCAGCTGCAAGGGAGGGGGCAGTGAGGAATTCCAGAACTGGATTTCTCTCTTCAAGACAGGCATTTTCTTCAACCAATTGGATATCTGACAAATTGGTCCAGTTTCTCTTATCTGTAAGAGTTATCGTTATTGTTCATCCTTGCTGCAAGTCACGTTGGCCATGGTTTTGTTTTTACTGCTCCCTGTGCCATTCTGGCTGTGCTCTGTGCTCATATTGGAAGGCAGCGTAAGAGTGGGGCTCTAGCCTTTCTTCCTATTATGGCCCTTCCCTTCCAAGCCCAAGTTTTCACCACTTCCATCTCCTTATTTTGTAGGTATGTGTGTATGCATTTTCTGAACTGTGATGTTTTTCTGTCTTCTGTACTTTCATTGCACAGGAGTTTTCTGGGTGGACAGTTGATAAGCTCTTTTTAGATCAAAGTGGGAATAATTTTAATCACCAGAACTGGACTGGCAGCTTTTCTCCCCTTTATTACTTTTGTAAGTCTGGTTATGGCTGGGCAAACAGCAGGAAACCAGCAACTTTGCTCAACTCCTACCCTTCCTTCCTTGGCCTGGCTCTTAAAATGTCAGTAACCTGAAAAAAATACGCTTGATGTTTTCAATAGATGCTTTCTGCTCTGTGCAGCTATGGACAACTGTGCAATTAAAAAAAAATCAAACATACATCAGGTTAGTTGCAGAGCTGTGCAGAGCTTTGTAGAAGGCTCCAATAACATTGACGAAGGAAGATGTATGTGATGGAGTGACAGACTAAAATTGTTTTGGCATTGAGAAGTCTAGGGGAATAGGAAAAGTAAGAAGTATTGCACACTAATAATATACAGTAGTTTCAGCTTAACAAAATTGAATGTTAGGACAAAATTTAGGAAAAACCATTAGCATGTGTGCTCAGGAACAACTCTTACGATCTAAGGACCATCATCCATACCTATTCGAACATTGCCATGTGACATAGATCACACAGATATGGAATGGCAATTTATTTTACAACAGTTAGAAGCCTCAGAAATTAATGTGCTTGCCATGTAGAAAATGACTTATTAGAGGCAATGTTAAATGTGTTACTTACTGCTCTGTTTCTGTTTCTTTTACTTTTTTCACACTTAATAGCCATTGCAGGGGATGTGATACAGGGGAAAAGGAAACTTGTTAAAATTGCAGGTCATAGGGCAAAGAATTTTAATATGAGATGGCAGAGAGATTAGCTGACCCGATGGGTCCATTGGATGAAATAGGACATCTCTACATGTCACATTTTTAGTAGTTCATTTCACCTTTGCAATTTCCAAGAGGCCTTAAAATGCAACAAAGAAATGGCATTTTTGAAAGAAGGAACTTTCCACTCACAGCAATTGCTCGTGTATTTTGCAAATGACCAAACAAAGGCACTCACCCACAGAAAACACGGAGGAGAGTACAGGAAGCTTCTTTCTGACTACTACAACTGCTGCACAAAGCCTTGAAATGGTGTGAAGGGCCTTGATGAGGCCAATCACATTGCCTCTGCATTTGTCTGACAAGACAAATTGCATCGTGCTGCAGTGCAGAGCAGCTCCTTAAGAAACACAGTTCCCATTCACAGATCTAAATCCACTGGCATGTAGATTACTAAAAGAACAGCATTGAAAGTACACCGGAACTGTTATCTAGCTCAGTGTTTCTCAACCTCGACAACTACTGGTCTATGACTGTAATAAACTGATTGATTGAACCTCGACAACTTTAAGATTGGCTGTCTGGGGAATTCTGGGAGTTGAAGTTCACACATCTTAAAGTTGTCAAGGTTGAGAAACACTGATAGCTGAATCATTATATGCCCAGACAGGATTTGTAAGGTGCCATCGTGGTGACTTTCTCCATGTTTGATTGCTCAGCTCTTCCCCATATAAGGATAAAGGGAATATGAAACAGCCATGATGAGACTGCAGATGTCAGGACTGGCATTTCAGAAGTCAAGCTGAAAGCTGAGTGCTCTAAGAGGGTCCGTTATGATTTCCTTGCCACATGAACGTTGTGTTGCTCGCTATATGCCCAGCCCGAAGGGTAAGGGCAGAGTTGCACTAATCTGTGCTTAGTTCCTCTTTCAGTGCCTCCAGTCCCACTCCTGCAGCTGGAGAAGTGCTGTACTCGAAACAACAGTGTGACCCTTGCCTGGCGGATGCCGCCTTTTAGCCACAACCCAGTGGAGGGATACATCTTGGAGCTTGATGATGGAGATGGTGGCCAGTTTCGAGTGAGATTTTTGTTCCTTTTGTGTTTATGTTTGGCTTTCTTGGGCAAATGCTAGCGTGCCGGCTCTATGATGGGCAAGTTTAGTATTGAAAATGGGAACCCAGGGTTTCTTCCTGTTACAAAAGAATTCCAGTCAAGGGCAGAAGGTTGGATGGGGTGAATGAAAGGTCCTAAATTAAAGGGTCTCTCTGAAGGTTTTGGCCAATGCAATGGTTGTGGTTTTTCTGCATGCTGCTCCAGTCTGGAGCCTTTTCATTTTCCCCCTACATGTATGTACTTTGACAGCCCTTACTGGCTCCAGACAGACAACAATGAATCTCTCTTCTTGGGAAAGAGTTGTTTTTTAAAAAATGAAATCATTCCCTTCAAAGGCTTTTCTAATCATGCATAATTTTTTAGTATCATTTCTTCTTACCTGGTCTTCATATTGCTGTATCTGATGGTGATAATTGTCCAAAAGCGATTGAAGAACCTTTTGATGGACATCTGTGCCTTTTTTGTTGTTTAGGAAGTGTATGTGGGCAAGGAAACCCTGTGTACAATTGATGGTCTTCATTTCAATAGTACCTACAATGCAAGAGTTAAAGCCTTTAATTCATCTGGGGTGGGCCCTTATAGCAAGACAGTTGTTTTACAAACTTCTGATGGTGAGTCTTTTTTAAAAAATACATATCTTTCCTTCCTGAAGTTCCTTTATATTTGGAATCAGTTGAACTTTAAGAATTAGTCTGGGAAATTGTATCTCCTACAAAAGTAGCTTTGAGTTTCCAGATCAGACTTCTGAAAGTAAGACTGCAAAGTAAGTATCTGAATCTTTTAATACCAACTCTCTTTAACATATATTTGTTTCCTTCTTGAAAATCCTTTACAATGAGAATATGCTGGATTTTCTAGATTTTGTTGGTTTCTGGAATGTTCAGGATCAAAAGCAGTTTATATTCTTATAATTTGGGAGAAAATCTCAGTTTCACATAGAATTCAGTTCTGTCTGAACCAGCTTGATTCAGTTTGGGTTTTGGGATAATGTATATCATAATACACAAGTGGTTTTGGCATTTTACATGGCAGAACCTCTCTCAAGGCTTGAAAATATTTCAGAATTTGCTGGGTTTTCTGATGGATTCTGAGATAGACAGACAGGTAGATAGGTAGATATTCTATAAGAACTGCAAATCTGAGAGGAATTATTTTTAGCACAATCTGCCAATGAAGATCCTTTTGTTTTCTGAAATAAGCTGAGATGTGAATGTTTGCAGATAGAATTACTTCCTGAGATCTTAAGGTCAATCAATCAATGTTGCTGATAAGAATGAATGATGCTGATCAAGAACTTCAATGAATTTGCAGTTCCCTACCTCCATTTTATTCCAGTGAGGAATTTCAGAATTTAATTACCTTTTCCCCTCACTGCTAGGAAATTATTTCTATAACATCTTATAAAATATGAATCTCAATTTAAGCCTCAGTTCTGTATAATTAAACTTAAAATTAATATTGATTAATGATATTAACTTTATGAATCATAAAACAGATGTTAATCTTCTTCTCTCTTTTACATTAACATTGTCAAATTAGTTCAGGAGAAAAGACATTTGTTCTCCATGATCTTTTCTTTAAAAGTCTAAAGAGAATAGTAGACTTTTGTAACAAACCTACCCACACATAAAGAAGAATATATAATACCAATGTTAAAATGTGCCAGTTTGATATAAGGAGTAATTTGTATCTATATTCTCAGTATGAGTAAGTTGGCATTGTGTAAGATGAATTCTGGTCTCCAAGCATAAATATTTTTATATATTATTTATATGACACACCTTGGTTTGATCAGCATCACACTAAAATGTTAACTGCTATGTCCATAATTCATTATTTCATTAGGTCTGTAGATATTGCTAAAAAAAGGTCCCAGATATCAGGCTTCCTCATAAAATATAGTGGATCTTTTCTAAACATGCAATTCTGCAGGTCTCTTAGACTATGATTCTTAGAAACTCCAGCCAGCATAGCCAACAGTCAGAGTGGCCAGGATGATCTGGGGATTTGAAGTCCACCAGATTTGTAGAGGACCTCATTGGGGAAATTTGGACTATTTGAAGTCATGTTACTAACAGGGAAACCTGAAGAAGAATGGTGTCACGTGTCACTTTCTAATTCTTAGATATTATGGAGAGAGCAAGTAGAATTTTGAGATCATGGGTTCAGTGAGACCATGCAGCAGATGATCATCTGAAAATGATATCACATATTCATAGCCCCTAAATTTTTGAATCCATACAGACAACTACTTCACCGTGCACGTTATCACATATTTTTTTTCATGTTTTGGTAGTGGCTATGTGGTAATAATCTCAACACTTTAAAGAGGCGATTGAGGTAAGCTGTCTACATGGGTTCTAGATTTCAAAGGGCTATATTCTAATGTGCTACTGAACCCAATAGAGCTTAAATGGGATTTAGTTCCTTAGTACCTTGGCAATGTCCTTTTCATACATCCTGAAATTCAGGGTTGCTGAATCATAATCGATCTTCATTTATCAATACAGTGCTGCTGCCCATCACAACCCAGTTAGTTGTTGCACTGTTCTAATCTGTATACTTTTTTTTTTTTTTTTAATAGTGGCCTGGTTTACATTTGACCCCTGTTCAGCCCATAGAGACATAGTCCTCTCAAACGACAACCAGACTGCTACCTGCAGCAGCTATGACGACCGTGTGGTTCTGGGCACTGCAGCTTTCTCGAAGGGAGTCCACTATTGGGAGCTGCACGTGGACCGTTACGACAACCATCCAGACCCAGCCTTTGGGGTTGCTAGAATCAATGTGGTCAAGGACATGATGCTGGGGAAGGATGACAAAGCCTGGGCCATGTATGTTGACAACAATCGCAGCTGGTTCATGCATTGCAACTCCCACACTAATCGGTAAGCACTCAAGAAGGTGCTCTCAGGCTTAAGCCAGGCTTCCTTCTTGTTCTCCAAGAGCTGTCCGGTGAAGGTTCTTCCACCCCATCATTTCAGAAATGTTTATCATAATTCTAATCCCTGCCAGCGTAGCTTATAAATCAGAATTACCATTGCATAAAGATGGAAGGCCAAAGGAGAAGGGGACGGCAGAGGATGAGATGGTTAGATAGCATCGCTGAAGCATTGAGCAG